GTTTGAGTATGAAAAGAAGAATTTTCATGTATTACAGCGTCTGGACCAGTCCAGATCAGAAGTTCACTCTCATCCATTTGCTTCAGTGCTTCTCCCCTCATCTTAGTCCAGGCCTCAGCCTGAAGTTCAGGGGCTAGCAGTTAAGGAAGGAGCCGTGGGATGTCTTTCTACTCTCCTGCTCCGTTCCCCTCCTAACCCCCAGCTCTGGCAGCCCTAGAGCCTGGGGAAGGAGAGTTTATAGCAGAAGAAGGCAAAGGACAGTGTTTACTTTTTTGTTGGTTGGTTGGTTGGTTTGTTTTTGTTTTTTGCGGTACGCGGGCCTCTCACTGCTGTGGCCTCTCCAGCTGCGGAGCACAGGCTCCGGACGCGCAGGCTCAGCGGCCATGGCTCACGGGCCCAGCCGCTCCGCGGCACGTGGGATCTTCCCGGACTGGGGGCACGAACCCGTGTTCCCCCCCTTCTGCAGGCGGACTCTCAACCACTGCGCCACCAGGGAAGCCCCAGTGTTTACTTTTTAAAGAAATAGTTTTGTTTCTAATACACTCTTGTTCTTTGTTATGGCAAGAATCCAATTACTAGCTCTTGGGTGGGGTATTTTATGGGTTCTTCAGAGAGCTCTGTAGAAAACTTCCAGATCATTCCCTGATATGGCTTTTGGACTTCTTGGCTGGCCTCTTCCAATCCCTCTCAGCTCCTGCTCTAGTCATTCACACCGTCCAGCAGTGCTCTGGGACAGTGTCACCCAGGCTGCCTGCCCCGGCACCCATCTGGGCTACAGAAAGCTTACCATCCTTGCCCCAGTAAAAGGCAGAAGGGCAGGCGCTGCCACTCTGCCCCACTGGAGCCAGCCCCCTGCTTCAGGCTGCTCCGGTGGTGGTCAGGCACCCTCCTCTGTGCCTCCATAGCCCAGGAGTTTCTGCAGCTCAGCATGGGTAGGATGGGTGTGTTTCAGATACGCATTTTCCCTGCTGGGAACAGCTCCATCTGTGAGTGGTTCTTCTGAGGTCCATCTCCACCCCACTCCTCACAGGGAAGGGTAGAGACATCACAGTCCTCCCAACTGTTACGAATTCCCTTCCAGGAAGCCTCCCTAATGAGTCTGGGTGTTTCTCTTACGTAGGTGTTGGGTGTGAAGGCTGACCACCAGTTTGGTTACTTCTTAGCAGCAGTGTGGTGAGCCCCTGTCTTTAGAATCCAGGGCATGTATCACCCATGGGATTTGGCTTTGAGGCACTATTCAAAATTCTGGACAACAACAAAACAGTCTGTACACATACTATAAATGTGGACAAGGTAGCAAGAACAACTGGCTTAAAAAGATAAATCCATCAGTTAGTAGAGCAGAATGTGATCCCAGCTTCTTTCAGTTCCATATCAGAGGCCAGTGACTACAAACATTTCCCTAACTCTGAGTTTTGTATTATCCTAACCCTCCCTGGCTGCTAAGACACATTTCCTGGCCAGAAGCCCATAAAACTATTTCTTACTTTCCTCCCATCCCAAAATGTGTCTAACCCTTGGGACTTTTCCCTTAGAGCTAGTCTCAGAGGCTCAGAAGGGTAACAGATGAATGTTTTGATAGGGACCTTCTGGAATGCCTTCTCTGCTAATGATGAAATGTTCAGACCCAAAGGAAGGCCGGTGGAGAAGACAGCACCGAACATTATCAAATTCTAACCGCATCATGTTTGGCGAGTCCCCGGGGGTTATTTTCTTACAGTGCTTTGCACATAATAAAACCTTTTGCCTTGAAACATCGATTGATTGATGTCCCTTTCTGTTTCTAATACATATGACAACACACCTCTCCATGTGTAACCACAATAAAGAAATGTTTTTAATGTTAATTTGCCACAAATGCATGAGAAAAGGCTGAACTGAAGCTAAGACTTAATTAGTTCTATTTTTATTTCTCATTATTTTCCCTA